TATATATGGGAGAAGAAAAAGAATACGTGAAAGCTTCTAACAATTGGGTTAATTAAGTTGTAAAAATCTAAATCTATTTAGGTAATGGGAGAAGAAAAAGATTACGTTAAAGCTTATAACAATTAATATGATAGGCATAAAAAAGCTTAGGGCTAATTAAGAGAGAAAAGTAATAGTATTAGATATCATAAATTGATTAAATTTATCCAAACCATCCATTTAAGTTTTTGGGTTGAATATTGGTTTATTCATTCTTAAAATGGTATCCCAACGAGAAATCCTACCAAATCCTGCATATTATGAGAGTGAAAATTCGAACTTACGATTTTAAGGTAGATTGAAGTAACAGGAATAATATATCTCTGCAAATTGGCAGATATGATCAGAAAATGTTTATGGGAATTTGATTAGGTCTTGTACATACGTGTCTGTCCATGGGAGAGTTTCTGAAGTGCGCACGCGCGTGAGAGAGAGAGAAGGGTTAAGATCTTGATTCTGCACACATAAAACTTGGGATCAGTTAGAAATTGAAATTGAAATAAAAACAAATATAGAATTGAAACAAAAGTTTTGATTTTGTTTGAGGATCTTAAAAATTGGGGATTAAAAAAGGGCATAGATTTGTTAGAAATTGATGAATGTTCTTACTCTGATTTTGTTAGTGCAGAGACATGGCATCATCAAGTTCATACAATTCTCCATGTGCTGCTTGCAAGTTCTTGAGAAGAAAATGCATGCCCGGTTGCATCTTTGCTCCTTATTTCCCACCAGAAGAGCCTCAGAAGTTTGCCAATGTCCACAGAATCTTTGGGGCAAGCAATGTGACAAAGCTGCTCAACGAGCTTCTGCCTCACCAAAGAGAGGATGCAGTCAACTCCCTTGCCTACGAGGCCGAGGCCCGAGTCCGAGACCCCGTCTACGGCTGCGTCGGGGCCATCTCGTTCCTCCAAAGGCAAGTCCAAAGGCTCCAAAAGGAACTTGACGCTGCGAATGCCGACCTAATTCGGTACGCATGCAACGAGATACCTAGTGCAGGGGTCGGTCATGTGGTTCAGTCAATCCCCGGCCCTCGCCCGAGAAGCTACGAAGGGGCATCGAGCGGGTATTATAATCAACAGCTTTCTGCTTTCCCCATGGCTTATCCACTGCCTTGGAATGAAAGCTCTTCTGGAAATAACATGAATGAAGGAGGAGGAGGGGATGGCAGTATTTGAAGAAAACTTTTCAAAAAATCCTCAAATTGGGGGAATTCCCATTTAGGGTTTTCTCAACCCTAGAGAGAAATCACTACTCTCTTTCTGGTATGCCATTTCCTAATATATTTATATATATATATGATGGTTTTTCTAGCTAGCTAGCTTTATGATCACATGGACATTTTTCTAGCTAGACGACTTAATTAGTTAATTTTTATTTTTTTAATCATTTAGGGTCTTGGGATTTAGTCTCTAAAAACCCATCATTTTCATTTTCATTTAAAATTCCAAAACAATTGGTATGAGTTTATGTTTTTATCCATATCTGTACGTGTGAAAGATTTAATTTAGGGCCTGAATAAGGTTAGTTGCTGCACATGCAGCCTAGCATTTTAGCCACATATATAATATTTTTATTATATAGTCTTGTGACTTGTGAGGGTCTTTTTAGTCGTTTTATTATTGTATCAAGAATTTTAGTATTATTGCCATTGTTTATGCTTAAGAATAAATGAAGAAAAGTAATTATTTATCTCATGTGTTTCGTCTTCTTAAAAGCAGATTCTCTTGGCCTGTATATTATCTATATTTATATATATATCTATGGCTACCTTACTCCTCTTTTTAACCCTATGTAATATTCTCTCACTTTTCTTTCTGATTTGCTTTCTTTTAGAGGACCATGTAGCTTTCTTCTAAGCATGTAAATAACAATTTTAGATAAAAGATAAGTTGGCTTTTAGCTATTAATTTGATTGAGAAAAAGACCCATTAAGAGAAATCCTTCAATTCACCTCCAACCTTTAAACCTATGGTTTTTTATTTAGTATACTTATTAGTTTTCTCTTTTCAATGCCTATGGGAAAGTTTCTGTCAGACCTATAATGTATATTCGCGAGTGTTGAAAAACCGAAAGAGGGTTTGGAAAAAGCTTGGCTTTTGAGGTTTCAAAGGTAGGGTTTGAAAGGGCCATTTTGAAAAGAAAAAGAAAAATTCAAGCTTTCTTAATGGCTTTGGAAGAATCAGAAAAAACAAAACATTATTTTGAAGAAATTATGAATCAACAGTGTTCCTCAGCTCCTTTTCAAATGATAGTCTTTATCTTATTAGTGTTAACAGTGGTAATGTGAATCTCTTGGTATTTGCCTTTATATTTTCACCCTCCAAAGAAAAAGAAAAAAAAAAGATTTCCTAAAAGAAACCGACCCTATTTCTTTCTTCCCATGTCCTAAATATCCAAAACAGTGAGTAAAAGACTTGAACCACTGATTTTTTGGTCAAGAATATACCAGTTGAATTATGTTCAGATTTATACTGGGACGGGATTTTCAGTTTTTGATTTGATATAAAAATATATTTCAGTTTCTTGAGCTACCTTTTCACTGTTTTCATCTCCCCAACAATAACACAAGTCCCAGACTTTGGCAGTAAAAACCCTACACCAGTCATATTCACAGTTAAAGCTTGCTCTTCCCCTTCTGTACTTTGTGTTTTGATGCTTTACTATTATTATGTTTTATTTTTGGGGTGATCAGAGTTTGCTTTTTGTTTGTATATTAATGAAGGTATCCTTTAGGGGGAAAAAAAGAGTTTATGATGAGACAGATAAATTTTTCTGCATGGATAATTAAACATATATACATTTGAAATCAACAGGGCTTGACTACTGCAACAAAAAATTTAGATGTTTGTGATGGTGTGGAATAAATGGAACCCTAAATTTGTTAATGAAAAAAAAGAAAAAGAAAAAGAAAGAAGAATAGGGAAAAGTTAAAGGGATTGTGATGTATTGTACTCTGTTTTTCTCTTACACCGCACGCACACAAGGACACTGATCTCTCTCTCTGGGATATCGTATCTGGATTTGGGTCCTCCAATTCATCGCCTTCATCTCTCTCTCTCTCTCTCTTCAGCTCTCAGCTTTTCCAATTTCCTTTTCATTTTTCTACTCTCACTCAGATATATAGGGTTGGTGAAGGTTAAAATTGGCAGATGATAAATTTACGTTGGAATTTAAGGGGGTTAAGGAGGTGTTGGGTTATTTAGGGAAGGAAAGTTAAAATTTTGGGATTCTTTGAACATTTTGGACTCTAATACTATAATAATATTAATGGTTATATCTTAAAATTAATTGGTGATAAAAGAGTAGTCCACTTATATTATAAACTCTGGTTAGGTCTCTTATCTTTTTAAGGTAGGGTTCTTAACACACTCTAACCAAATATTCGACATTGCATCATAATATATGTCTTTTTTGGCGGGAAAACGTGATGGAGAGGTCCTCAAAGACGAAGTGATCAATGAAATTAGGGAGCACAAGGACTATTTGAAAAATATTGAAGAGGCGAAAGAAATAGTAAAATAATTTATAAAAATCGCTTGTCATTGAATTTCACTCATTCTAAAATCATTCTCAAACGTGCTCCAAATATCATTAGTTTATTAGCTAATTTTAATGTTTGGCACTGGTGATGGTATAGTTTAAGTTGAAATTACTTTTTAAATAAAATGAGCTTAATTAAAAGTAAATTGCTTAGGTTCCGTCTTGAGAACTTATAACCATTAAATTTTTTATAATTAAGAGACAAAAATGCAAAAATAGATAACTTTTTTAAAAAATTAATAAATTATCAAATTTTCAATAATGATCAGCACCCTCCGGCCAATCCCAACTTAAGTACTTTTGGAAAAAAAAAGGTATTAAAATATTAGAAACTATAAAACGTGTATTTAACATTTCTGGTCCCTTGAGCAACAATTTTCTTTAATTTGGTAAATATAATTTGTTAATCTTATTAGACCCATATGAACAACTGAGAATAAAATCAAAAGTAGTTGTCCACTCCACTTACTGTAGTATAAAATTTCTGGAATTCCTTATTGTGCTCCTCCCATCGCTCTCATAAATGAACAAGCTGTTCCTATTTTTTTTCTTTTTCTTTTTCTCTGCTGGGTGTTGTTTTGAAGTCTTAAAAGGGGCACTGTTTTGGTTCAGAAGTTGGCCAGAGCAGAGTTGTTCTGGTTGGGTTTTTGTGTGAATAATTATTTTTTATTTTTTATTATATGAGTGTTAGTGAAACTGTTGTATTTTCAGAATCCATCATCATAACCCATCAATCTTAATCTTCTACTCTGCAGAGGCAGATGGAGAGACGTGGTAAAGAAGCAAACACCACCTGAAACTCAAACCCTTTTCATCATATAACGACAAAATATCACACACTACACAACACAACACAACACCCTTCTTCTATTTGATCTGCCCCCACCACCAAAATTCTTCACTTCTCCATTCTTAGAATCATAATCTTAATTAAGTAACTCTCAAATCAAATCAACTTAATGCAAAAGAGTCTAATTAAATCTGTTGACGGCCAGGTCCACGTGTTCTCCGAACGTACATACTTGTCGAAGACCAAATGAACTTGCAACTAGAAAACTCAACATCCCACCTAATATACACTAACAATCAATCAATAGTCGGAAACAAGAAAAGAATAAGAGTAGACATCAACTGTTTAGTAATGGGGTCCTTCCCTAAGCACCATGGGTCGACTAGGAAGGACTATAGTTAAAGGTGCAGGAGCACGTCGAATTGTACGAGTTCCTAATGGAGGAGGGTGGACGTCTTGAGAGCCCATGGGTGGGGCGCCTCCGCCTGCTGGTTTGTCCTCTTGCGGCTGCAAGTTGCAGGTCGCGGTTCTCGACATCTCACTCATACAGTGGTATGGGGGTGACGTGCCCGTACGCATGCACACGTACAACATTAACCGTCTGTGATCCCGCGCTTCGTTATTACGTACAATATGTGTCTTGTCTGGATTTCTCCTTCAACAAAATCGTTTGTGTTAAAAGGATAAAGGTAATGTAATTTACTCCTCTACTTTAGAGTCGAACTAAACTCTCCCTTCATTTATCCGGATTGAAAAGTATATCAAAAGTTCAACTAATGTTTAAAATTTTATTGTTTTTAGAGTTGAAAGACTATATATACATAAAACTGTAAAATTTTGTCCATGCTGGTAGGTTTAGATATTAATAAAAATTGAAGTTCGGTGAGTAGGCTATTAATATGAAATGAAAATAAATAATATTACTATTTGACACCACATTAAATTACTATTAAATCTAAAACTTAAGTTATTCATATGATTTCTTTTATCTGGGTGGTCCTCCGAATCCAATCTTTTTTTAATTATTCTCTGACTACCATTTTTCTCTATTAAAATGTCTATTCTTTTTGTATATAAGTTTCTCGCATACTCTTTGATATGGTACTTTTTCTTCAAGAAATTTTTTTTTAGATGTTAAATAGATAATTAACAACATTTTACACGCTCTACTCAACAAAGCTATAATTTTATGGTGTTTTTTCTCCTTTATTTTTGCTCCGTGGTACGCCGCTCCAGTTATATATATAACCTAAGCTACTCTTTTTTTAACTTTTGTAGAGTTGTCCTCTTCCACATAAGTTTTAATCTCATAGTGAATTTCATCTACGTCTTTTCGCACATATACAAAACCCTTCTCATTCAATCAAATCAACAAAATCATACATGTTCCGGACGACACACATGTGCTACATTTATTAGTACAAAGACTTGTGTGCAAATTAATGCATATACTCAAATAATCAATTTTTTTTTTAAAGGAAAATGATTACTTTGACTTTTTGAAGCATGATACAAGATTTTTCTTTTCTTTTTTTAAAGTCTTCCCACCCAAATTAGGAAATGTGAATTTAATCATATTTTTCAAGGAATATTTTTTATAGGTATCAATCTAACTTTTGAACAAAAAAATCTATCATGTATATATAATACATGTTAATTACATAAGTAAAAGGAATCAAACCATGATGAGAGAAAAGGAGGGGGTTAATTAACAACCATTTTGTAGAGTCCCCTAACAATTTATTCTCACTTTAATAGAGCACTGGCTCCTACCATTAGGACTTTGAAAACTTTGCACATGTTCTAGCCTCTAGCCTTGAAAAAGAAGGGGTTAATTTTATGTTCTTTTTGGTTTACTTTTTCTGGTCATCGAGTTCAATTTATTTGAATTTAACATTATTCCAGATTCCCACTTATGTTTTTGTTTATATATATATATATATATAAAGCTTAATTATAATTGTTTGGAGTAGTGATTTCGCAAAACATCTCCATTGACAATGATTTCTTTATTATTGTTTGAGTTTGACCCATATATATTTTTAATTTGGTGCAAACTTGAATTTGTTCTGCTCGCAATCTTTGCACGTTATATTTATTAATTTATAATGGCAATTGGTAAGGGTATAAGAATATAAGTATCTAACACTGATTAATATTGGGTCGAGTGAAGAGTATATGATTCAAAGGAGTGCTTACACGCTCACCTTTTGCAATTTTAACAAGTTTGCCTAAGTAGAGAATTAAATTAACATATTTGGAAAGTATTAATTATTAAAAGAGCATCTACAATATTACTTCACTGAGTGGGGTGGAGATTATAATGAGGGGTAAGTTTAGGGTTTAAGGAAAAATAATTGGTTTAAGCTTTTATAGTATTATATTTCATAACCACAAATACGGCACTAAACCACTCTTCTTAATGGAATATTTTGTAATAATTCATAAATAAATGTATAGTACTATTCCCTTCGTGATTACTGAAAATGGATGGAAAAGAATAATCACAAAAATTGGAAAGCGATACAAGGGTGATGTTGAGCCCAAATATGTAACATTTTTGGGCTAGGGCCCAGTGCAGGGGGCAGATACAGGATGCTAAGGAATTTCAAATGAAATGGAAATTTAAAAGGATTGTTTTTTCGCCCCTAAAAGGATATACGATTTCTTAAGGAACTGATTTCAACTATTGGAGGGTTTCGGGAGGAATGGTCCTTAAGCATATCCCACGTTTGCCACAAGATGAGTAAATGCTTGAGCTTAATTAAGAAAGGTCTCATCCCCCATTGGTATTTTGCCTCTATGGTGTTTTTTCTTGTAGTTCTAACATGGAGTGAGAATTCAAATCTTAGATGAAATATGCCATAACCAGTGTTTTATTGTCATCAAACTCAATTAATTACTTATATCATAATCGAGTCAATCACATTTTCTAAGAATGTTGCAAGTTATTTATACAAATACGTTGTCTACAAGAGCAAATTAAAAGAAGATAAGGAAAAATAACCTTTAAAATTTTGGTATAAACATATTTCCTGATATTTAACTTTAAAACGAACTCCAGACACTTCCAAAATTAGTTTTTCCTTGTTCTTTAATCACGTCATCAACTTTTTCCAGCAATTATATTGTCTTTCCGAAGTATATCCCATCTAAGAAAAAAGGGAAAAAAATTCATAGAAGTTGTAAAATCCTTCAAGTTCAAACCAAAAAGTAAAAATGCAAGTTTCCTCCACAGTCCTACAGCATTGTGATAAGATCCAAGCCATTTGTGAGGCTAAGGATAGAGGAGAATACAGAGAAGTTGGACACTGTCTCACTTTTTACAAATCTTAAAAAATTCGAAGTGATTCACAGCCACACACAAAACCTTATCAGAATTAAATCTCATATTCATAGACAAAATATTTATTCGTTTTAGTATCACATGGGTAAGACATTGATTAATCAGATAGATAATGGTGAGCAAGTACCTTGTTGTTCTGTTGTTTATGCAGTGGAGGTACCATTTTTCCCTTTCTTTTTGTCACTGTCGGTTGGTCTCAGCCCTCATCGCTACGCAAAAATCTGTGGCATTAAAGGAAGTTGTTCACAGCAATAAACTTCAGAACTTCAGAACTTCTGAATCCTCTTTTATTCTATTGAAAATCAAGCAATTTGAAACTCTGACATTTCATTTCAGCAAAATTACTCTTTTTACCAGTTTTGGGTCAATATGTAACCATCAGTGCAGGTCGCCGGAGGGAAGCTCAAAATGCACTTTTGAGATGAAGTTTCATTCCAGTTCACCATCACAGCAGGGTCGTTTTCAGCAAGGGAATCCTATGACAAAAAAAAGCCTAATCTTTTATGAGTTGTCGGTAACCATTCAAATTCAAATTCGTCCTTATTAGCCTCAGAAATGTATGTCATTCCACTGTAAGTTACCGAATTTAGCATTAATCATTCAATCAGTGTCTCCTTTTCCAACTCATTCCCATTTGGTGTCATGGATGGTGAAGTAGAATTTTCCAGCTGCTAAAAATGTGGGCAAAGGCAGAATCAAAATCACAAGTTTATATGGAAAACATCTTTGCTGATGTAACGTCTTTTAAAAGAGTAATATTTTCAGGTGAAAAGCTTGTTTTATACCAATACTTTTTAGGGGAAAAAAAGTACTAATTAGCTATGTAAATATATATTTATTTTGAAAGAATCTTTCACTTTTTCTCAAAAATCATGCCAATCTAAGTTAAATTTAAAATGGACAATATCATACAAATACAAAACAAGAGTCATTATACTAATGCACATGGTATTAGATATGTAGAATGCTCATCAAAAGCAAACGAAGTGCCAATTTGGCTATGATATGTGTGGACGAGAGGGATTTACCTCTGTCGTGCAAAAAAGTGAATGAAGGAAAAAAGAGGAGAAAAATAAGAGAAAAGAAAAGTCGGGACATTTTTGCAGTTGAGATGAATAATTGAACCCAAGGAATATTTATAGCATGGAAAAAATGTTCAAGTACGGCACTACCACTAATACTTTTTCCAAGTTTCAAAGCTTGTAGGCCCTCTTGAACCGTGCTGGAAATCTACACAAAGTTACCAATTAATATGAGTGCGATTTAGTTTTTGCAAAATTTTCTCATGTGAGTTAACACATATCAGTTTCTCAATTCAAATGGGGTCACAAGTCAAATCTGTCTGTATTTTCTCGTATACAATCATAGAAAGAAAATCGTTCACGAGCCTCATAGACGTTTCCATTATCATTAACTCTGAGAGAGCTAAGCAACTACAGCAAGGGATAAGCATAGCCAACAGGTACCTCAAATGCAGCCCTTTTATGGAGGAGTTTTTGTACAGATTTCACATCAAACACATCTCTCTCCCTCATTTCCTGTCTATAAGACCAACTTGAGAATTCACTCAGTAACCCAGAAAGGCTAAAGAAGCCTTCACTAAGATGGGTGCATGCTCAAGCAAAGATGGCAGTGAGTTTTGTGATGATGATGTTAGAGAATTGAAAGAAAAGATAAGACTACTCAGGGAGGAAGTGAGGGGAGTGATGTCTGAGATGGATGAGGAGACTAAAGCCCATGAGAAAGACATGGTGGTTTTCGCATTTAAGGAGGCAGGTTGGAAAACAGAGAAGAAGAAACTCAAAGAGGAGGTGAAGGTGTTGAGGAAGAAGGTAGACGAGAGGATGAAAGACATTGAAGAGGGAAAATCTGGAGAGAAAATTGCAACAGAATGGGAGATGGTGGGAAGTACAAATGCCATCTTTGAACAGATACAGCAGGAAAGAGCACGCAGAGATGAAGCCATTGACAAATGGAAGCAACTTTATCACGCTATCAAGATGGAGCTTGATGACCTAATTCAGAGGACACATAATGGTATGGCTATTAACTTTTCTCTTCCTCTAGTCATCACAAACAATACAATTTTCCCTTGGTTTCTGAATTTTCTGTTGATCGTCTTTCAATTTACTACTTTAAGCTCAAGATTAGATCAGTGAAGGCTAGCAAAAACTATTACTAAAAAAATTCAATAAATGCACATTAGATATTCCATCACTAAAAGGCCCTCATCAATTGCCTTGATAGGAGATGGATTGTATTGGGGAGCGGATGAGAGGGCAGAAGCACTAAAAACAGAATTGCAAGCAAAGGAAGAGACCATAAAAGCCCTCAAAGAAAAAGTAGTTTCAATGGAGCATGAAAAATATGAGAGGGACAGAGAAATCGACATACTGAGGCAAAGCTTGAGAATCCTGACGAGTAAGAAGGAACAACAGATTAGAAACCATCTGTAAGTAGCCTGCCTTCGAAGTAAGCATGATAGCAGAAATTCCAACACCACATTAGAATGATGAACAAATAAATGAAATGTCAATTGAACATGTTACTAGATGTAAATCTGTCCAGTGTCCAGAAAGTTGTTACATTTGCAACCCACCCTTTATTTCAACCCAAATGCTATTACCATAACCATTTTGTTTATTTATTTCTTGTCATTTAAATTTAGAATATGATGAAAACTAGTAGTCAAGTTTTTCTAAACATCACCAATCAATCACACATCAAACCTAACTTAAAACAACAATGTCTAAGTTCTTATACGAGCTTAATTGGGAATGCGAGACTCTAGCTCTACCAATACGGTGTACGAATCAAAATTTGTGCCGGACCTTGGAAACATACGAATCAAAAGTTGTGCAGAAATTTAAGTGGCCAACTTAATTCTTAGGATCAATAGGGGAAATGCTTCAACTTCTGCTAATAGGCAGTTTTGCGAGAGAATGTATTCAACATAATCAAATGCACTCTAACAACAGAGAAACATGAATAATCAAATCTATCAGTAAACTGAACTGCAGAAGCTATTTTGGACCTTTTAATCTATCGTAGAACCTCCTGATTGAAAGCTTGCATTCGCTCGAGTGGATGACATGAAGAGTCGAACAAATCGCCGAGGTGTGAAACAATCGAGCTCCCGGCCATCGAAGGGATCCCATTGCGTTGGAAATTGTTCAAATCGCATTTATTTTATAGTTTACCAACGTCGATAGCATTAACGAAGAAGAGAGTACTGATTATTCAACGCCCAGAGAAGAAAGAGTTTCGAACCTTCGCGCCAAAAGGCGTTCTATATCTCGATGTTTATTTTAGGGGAGGATCGAGGTCAACTCTATACTCACTTTGACACATATATCTCACAATTATACCGTGAGTTCGATCTACCACATGCTAAAAAAATTGACATCTATTTCTGACATCTATCTCTGATTGAATAATTGAAAGGCTCTTAATCAAATTATGGATAATAAAACAATATGAAAAGAATTCCCAATTATATGACGATCGATATCAACTATTGAGTATTCTTCAACAAATTTTGATTGTTATTCAAAAAAAAAAACAGAAAAGAAAAGAAAAAGATTGCGAGTTGGATGGGATATGGCTTGGGTCGAGTCTGGACCCACTTTTGGGCTCTACGCCTTGTGAGGTGACATATCAAATGTAGATGGGCTGGGCTTAAATTAACTTTTATTATAGGGATTGAGCCCATCCTAATCCTGAGGATTCCGGGTTGTAATTGCCGACAAATGAGCTGACGTTTTTTTCTGGGTTCATTTTTTCTTTTTCAATGACATAAGGAAACCAACTAGCAGAAATATTAGAAAAGGGAATTCAGCTGCAAAATGATATATATCTCTAACTATATTTGTCCAACAACATATGCAAAATGATATGAATCTCTATTCAAGATAATTCGTTTTGAACCTCTAACATTTAAGATAGATCATAACGAACTGAAATATATTTAATATATTAAAATAAAAGCATATGTTTAAAGTGAAATTTGTTCAAGCTCATTTTAAGATAAAATATTTGTTTAACTAAAAAGAGCTTGTTAATCCATTAATCGATTTTTGTTAAAAAAGAAAAAAAAATCCATTCATTGATTTGATCTGATCACATAAAAATTTTATTTTTTAACTTTTCAGTAAACGTAAAAAAAGGTAATTTGATGATAATAATTAATTAGTGTATATTTTTATTATGTTACACATTCACGTGAACCAACCAAAAAAAAATGCAATTTCTTGCCGTATACACTGTAGTGGATAGCAAAAACTTTTTTATGTATTTCAAAATATATTACTTTTTTTTTAATTTAAATATAGGAAAAATTTTCAGTTATATCAGTAATATATCATATTAAACTAGTCAGATATATTACATGTCTATATCATTTGGATATATCATTTGGATAAAGCTGTCATTTTAAAATTAGATCAAGTGCTATATTTGAAAAAAAAATGTGATTACTATTTTACTAATTTTACTAAATATTTTTTACTAATTTTACTAAATATTTTTGACATATTTGCAATTGTGCCTCGAATAAACCTCTCCACTCCTGCATCATTTTTTATTAGCAACAACGAAATTAGAATCGAGCAATGAACCTGCAAAATAAAAAATTAAATTGAGACCTTTCACCCAGAATCAATAACAAATATTCTCCTTTTCTTTTCATTTTTTTTTCTTTCTTTCTCGTTTTCATTTTCAAATTTACATTTGCAAGGCCCGAAACCTCTGATGATACCTTCTCCCCCTGCCTTGCCCACACTTGTTCAGTTCATCAGCATCAGATCAGATGTCATGATCTGATCTGGGACAATCTTTCTATAAATAAATTGAAGGTTTCTTCGCGATCAAGCATGCTAATTCGGACGTATTTCGGGCTGAAACCAAAATGCTTTCCGCCCCGGGTCAGGATCTTGTGGCCCCGGAGGAAGTGCTCGCAATCATCGACATCGTCCACTTCACATTTTAACCATGCGAAAGCTGCAAGAGATAGCACGAAAGCATCAGTAGTTTATGTCAATCCTACAGTATTCATAACTTATAAGGGCAAAAGTAAAATGTATCCAAAGATTTTGTGGATGTTGTTCTTGCCAGGTTGAGATCCCAGGTTGTTATCAAAGAAGTTGCAATGTGCGGGAGAGAACTTGGGCAAACTAAAGATGCCGCTGCATTTCACTGCCTCCCTCAGCAGCGTCCACCTCTCCGTCATGAGGGCATGGCTGAAATGGAAGAACGATTCCGCATACTCCGAACCACCAGCCTGTTCGCAACTGTCCGATACCACTTCCAGAACTTTGGCAGCCCGGAGCTGCGAGTCCTTGGACACACCAATGGTGTTCAGCTCTATGAATTTGATCATCCTCTTTGCAACTTCAACATCTTTCACTAGAGCCCACCTGGAGTTTGGAAGAAAATGGTATTAGAATACAGAGACGAGGATGAGTTCATTTACGTAATCGCCAAATTGTTCATAGCTAACTAACCCAATGCGCATCCCGGCATGGCCAGTGCTCTTCGACACAGTGAACAGTGTCAAGTCGTTGTCAGCTGGGGAGGATATAGGCGTATACTGCGGCCAATAATAAGCAAGGTCATGGACCAATATCCCGCCACTTCTGTTCACCATGGAATGTCGAACAAAGCCATCCGGATTGTTGGGGGAAGTAACCAACTCAATGTAGGGCTCGCGCTTGTCGAATATCTTCGCATCGCCAGCCCACTTGTGGAGGCCCGACTTGAGGCAGTCGGTCATTGAAGGGTAAGACTGCAACAGTAATGTGATTAGGCTCGGTTCAATTATTAAAATAATAGCAAGAGAAAAAAAACATTCAAAACAGCTCAAGATAAAGAAACATTTAACAAAGCCCACAAGAAAGCAATGTGTAGTTGATTCAGTTCACCAGAAGCAGCTGAGAGAGAGACCTAACTAACTCAACAGCTACGAATTTGTCCAGACTGTGCCACTTTTATCAAAGAAACATGTCTTAATTCCTCTTCAATGCATATAAATACATATAAATTCCTGTTTCTCCGTCCTCCCATCATTAAAGAACACATCAGACAGTGCATGTGGAGCAACTATTCAGAATAAAGTATTGAGCTTAAATTATAAACAGAATGAACCTCTTCAAAAGAGAATAAATAAATAGAACAAATCCCTGTTGACTTTATAAGATTCTAAATTTGATTACAACTTTTTCTACTATATTTTTAATGTTGAAGAAGTAAAGCAACAAACAGAATCAAACAGAAGCATGTGTGCGCATCATATAAAACTCACCGAGTAGTATGGGGCTGCAGAGACCACGCTGATGGGGTTCGACGCATCTCGCGGGGACAGGGCATAGAGGGCAGCTAAGAAGAGCTGGGAGGAGCCCGTCCCGACGACAATGTGCCGCCCCTCGGTCACAGCATTCCCGACCACCTTGTGCAGCCTCACAATTTGCCTCGCAAACTCTGGCTCCAAGAACCAGCACAAGTTCTTCACATCAGAAAAATAACTCATTGATTGCCATCCCGGGATCACTATTGTGGTCTTGTCCCCCGTCTGCTTCCAATATTGCTCATACATTGTCGGGTCACCACTGCATTTTTAACCAATACATTAAATTTGCATCAAACTTAAAAAACTAAAGAGGCCAGATCCTGAAGAAATGTATCAAACTAAGCATAATTTCACAGGCCCTGTTCCCCAAAGGCAACAAAGAAAGTGGCAACTGCACGGAAGCTTATCACAGTTAACTAGAGAGAGGAAAAAAATCTGACAAACAGTATGGAAGAGGGAACAGAATGGGGGGTCCTTACTGGCTCTGCATCAGATCAATCATGAATATGATGTCAATGTGGAGAACAAGTGGAGGGAAGTTAAAATCCAGCCGGGACCCACGAGGTGGTGGAAGGAGATTACTAGATCCAGACAATCCTAATTTCCCCAATTGATCTAAAAGTGGGTTTTGTTTCCAAAGACAACTTTTTTTCTTCTTCTTTATCTTTTAATGGGCGGCCAAAAGTTGAGAGTTTTCAGAGGGATCTTAGGCAAGGCAACCCACGTCGCGCTTTACACCTTCCGGAAGGCCGAAAGCAAAAGATGATGTTGGTGTTGCATGCAATGTGGAAGAAGCCACGTGGTTTCCACAAAAACAAGAATCTTCCCCTTCTTCTTATTCTTCTAATTCCTCCTTTCACTCAAATGAAAGAAGTTTTTTCTTTCAGTCCAAAAGACAAACACCATGATGGCATTTTTTTTGGTCAACTTCAAATCACCACCGTCCATGGTGCAATTTCGGACTTACCAACAGCAATAACAATAATATTTTCCTCATGTACTTGAATCCCAAATAAGAGTGTAAAAAAGAAAAAAAAATGAAAATTCTCAAAGAAAGCAACGAAACCCAGAGGGGGGGTTTCTGGTTCTATTATATTCTACTTCGAAAATCTCAAAACCAAAACAGAGGGGCGATAAGGAGCTGTCTGCGTCTGTGTTTGCAGCAAAACGGCATGGTTCTTCGATCCTGCAGAGGGGCAGCCGGGCAGGGCTCGATTGAAGCGATGATTTTCTCGAGAATTTGGACAACATGTTTTGCGCTGTACGGTTAAATTAAATACGTTTTTCCAAAAATATCACTGACATCCCACACAGGTTTTTGGCTTTGACACCCCAAAGCAAAGTCCACACCTAAAAAGCTGGAAAAAGTTACTTATAAACGTCGAAATTACCCCCTTGCCCCCACTCCCCACTCCCAATTCTAGTTTACAGTAAATTTCGATTCAAGGAAGATGACAGAAACAGAATAGTAAAAAAAAGAGTGAATCAGAGGACTTACTGGTCAAGATTAATGACTCTTTCGCCGCCGTTTTCACCCAGAGGAGGAGTTGCAGTTGCAGGAGCGGCAGCTGATGGAGATGATAGAGAAGGGAAGGACAAAAATGTCATTTGGGCAACTTTCGCCTCCTTCTGGGCCGCCATTGGAGCTCCATTTTGACTTATAGCTCTCAGAATCAAACTCACATTCAAAGCTAGAGACAGCACGAAGAAATGCCTCACTGAAACCACTTCCACAATCCACGCCATTTCCCTCCAAGAAAACAGAGCAATGGAAAAGAACAAAGAAACAGAGCAGTGAAGAAGAAGAAAAAGGGTACGATTATGCGAAATACTGAAGCGCGAAAGGGCGAATATATAGGAAGCGAAGAAGATTGAACACAATTTTTGAAAAACAGTAAGTTCCAAATGCCAAGTGGATGGCGAGAGGAATTTAAATTTTCAAGGCATGCAGAATCCAGAAATGGTGAGCGTAACCTCAACTCGCACATTCAAGGAATTATGGAGAAAACAAGGCGGAAAATCGTAAGAAAAGTCAGCTGATTCGGCAGTTACGGAGAAGAGAAACCCTGAAAATTTTTTCCAAAAAATTTCTTAGGGTTTTCCAGAGCGAGCGAACGTCCGTCCGTGCGCTTTTAAAGTCCGTAAAATTTTGAATATAAACTCTCTCCTTTTCAAACAAAAACTTCCCATAAACAGAAAAGGAAATTAAGTAACTTAAATAGAAAGTCGAAATGTGATCGCGGAAATTGAAAAGGAAGAAACAGAGTAATAATCGGTCGGGTTAAAGCTCTGCTCTGCTGATTCGAAAAGAAAAACAAAATAATCAAAAATTACTGCGTTTTGTCGCCATTTTTGGAGCCTTACAAAGAAGAGAGAGAGAACTGAGAAGGCGAAAATGCGTAAGAGAGAAACAGTCTTGAAAACGCATCCGACAAAAGATTTTTCTCAAGAATCAAGAAATCCCGCCGCGATTTTCCGGGAAAATTTGCAGACTTTCGATGCTGGATCTTAAAAAGTAATCTCCTCCCTCGCTTTAAAACTATAAGATTCACTGTTCCATCTTGATATGCAAGGCGCACACGCATATATATACATATATATTCGGCTAACAATTCTATAAACAAAATGGGTTAACGAAAAAGCTGCTCTCTCGCTGCCACTACATGCTGTGCATTATTATTTTTTTTTTTGGGGGGCCTTTTTTTTTTTCCTTATCTTTATTATTTATTATATAACTTTTCTTTTCCTTTTGGGAATTTGTTCTTTCTTTTTTCTTGAAGGGAAGAATTTGTTCTTCGACCTGGCTCCTTGAGTATTAATAAAATCTTGATTTGACTTTTGTAGATTGATTCTGATTATAAGTTTTAACCAAAACTTAGAAAAGTAGTAAGTGTGAGTAATTTGGCGACTCTCGATCCCCAACCACGTTGCTTGTTTCAAAATTATCTCCCAAAAGAAGGAAATGAAAGGAAAACAAAAAAACAAAAAACTTTCTTTTTGCATTTTATGCCTCCTTATGTTATAAGTTCCATCATAGTGAAATGAAAACGACGTTAAATCTAAGTCACCTGTCGATATCCACCACCCAATAAAAATTATCGAAATTTATTTATAAATCTCAATAATCATTATTAGATTTTTTTAAGAGGCTTTGGTTAGTTAAACTAATAATGGAAAGAAGAGTCTGAAAATTTTAGGACCTATTTGATGATGTTTTTGTTTCCCGTTATTTGTTTTTCATTTTCAATTTTTTAGAAATATTAATGTTTGATAATTATTATTGTTTTTCGTTTGTAATTTTATAAACGGTTATTAAGATTGTATAGAAAATTTGAAAACAACGAAGTTTTAATTCTTCTTTTTTTTTTTAGAAATCTAAAGATTTGACAACTATTTGTGTTTCTTATTTTTACTTTTTAGAAATATTCTTATATATAAATTTTTGTAAACAACACATTTATTTGTTTCTTATTTTGTTTCTAATTTTTTCTAAAACATAAATAAAGATATTGTTTTATCATTTTTAACTTATTAAATGCATAATAAATAATCAATAGTAAAAAGTAACAATAACATAAAACATTTAATTTTAAAACTTATTTTTTAATATAAACTTGTTACTCTTTTAATTTAAAATTTAATTGCTATCTTATTTTTTCAAAAAAATAATAATAAATAGTTATCAAATACAATATGTCAAAATACAATTATATTACTTTATCATTCTTAAAATTTAAGAATGCATAGTATGTATTAAAAATAAATACAATATAAAAAATTGAATATTAATTTAAAACCTTTAGTTTCATATACAACTTTTAATTTTAAAATTTAAAATTTGTAAATAACAATAAATTCTTATCAAGCATGTTTTTATCTTTTCCAATAAAATAATGAAAACAAAAAAATAAATATAATTACCATTTACCAAATACAGTTATTAAAATAGAGAGAACAAAAAAATAAATAATAGACTGATGTAATGCTGATAGGTTTTTTTTCCGTACAATGTAGGATGGTTAATATATCTATCGGTGGATATTTTCCAACTCCCAAAATCACTCTGGGCGGTATTTATCTATTTGTATTCAGACTTTTCAGATCGAATCAAGTGACGCGTGGCATAGCATTTTTTAATCCTTAACAAAATTGTAGACAATTTCATTTTATATAGCATAAATTTAATATGTATTTTAAATAATTTTACAACTTTTTGTTTTCTTTGAATTATAGTATAAAGTTGACTGTGCTTTTATGTGTTTTAGATTATATTCGTAGAATTTCAAACTTTCTACCGATAATTAAAAATATATATTTATTTATTCAAAATTAGATAATATAAATTTAGTTAGACATCATATTTTAAGAGGGTTATTTTTAATTCTTAATTTCATAAATGTTTTGGTTTTCTAAATTTACGCTTTCAGATTTTTTTCGTCTAGTTTTTTATTTCGTCTAGTTTTTTATTCTAATACTGTTTCTACCTTATTTATTATTTTTTATTTTATTATAATTTTAAAATTTAAAAGATTTGAATCCTTAATTTGTTATTATATTTATTTAATTATTGTGGGCTCCGTTCAATTATTCAAAATAACTCCCAAATTTGTAAAATCATTTTTTGAATTAATCAAATCATTAGATGCGTCTGCTTCCTTCTCCAACTTTGATTTTTTTTTCGACGTCTTCCTTTTTTCGTGCATACATTCATCAACGTCGACAGCATTAAAGTGCATACCGTGTACTTCTTCAGAGCTTCCATCAACAAGAGATTTTTTCCTTCTTCTTTCCGTCACCGAATAGACTTTCTGTCGACCTCGTTCCATGTTTCCGACGCCGTGCAACGTACTTCCGTCAACGAGGTATTTATTCCTTCCATTTCTGTAGCCGAATAAACTTTCCGTCGATGTCTTTGAACGTTTTCGACGTCGTTCAGCGCGTTCCTTGTCTCCTATCCCTTCTGTTTTTACCATTGATACTTATTGGTCTTCCGTTAAGATTGGTATATATGAGGATATATTTTATGTATGTGTACAGAAAATGAAAGTTCTAAACGTCTCACAGTCTTAGTATTCCTGATTATATTCATATATATGGGTATATATTGTATATGTGAATATATCTTATATGTGTATACATAGTCTGTAGAAATGGTCCTCCATACCATTTGTAATTATTAGTCTTCCGTTAAGATTGGTATATATGGGGATATATTTTGTTTATGTGTATAGAAAATTGAAGTTCTAAATGTCTCATATTCTTAGTATTCCTAATTATATTCGTATATATAGGTATATATTGTATATGTGTATAAATCTTATAGTTGTATAAAGGGTCCTCCAAGACTGAAGTTTTAAACGTCTCATGGATGAAGCGAAAAAAATTATTGATTTCGAATTTAGGGGATTTTTGGACGGGATTTGGAGATATTTTGGGAGGTTATGATTTCAATTTTGGGAAATTTAGGATTTTGTTTTTAATGTTTTGGTGTTTTAATTTGTTTTGGAAAGTATGATTAACCTAAAATTATGAGATCTAAATTATAACTTTCCAATTAATCAATTTTGCATATTAAAATGAATTTGTAAATACAAGAGCCTATTTAAGTAATTTATATGATGGGTACCCTCTTAAATATGACAAAAATGTGTAAATTCTATACCTTCCATCATTTTATGTAATTAGGATATTTAAATAGCCTGTACTAATCTCTTTAATTTTTGTAAAAGAGTTCGGTTTAAACTATGATTCTGACGCAGGCTTACCACACTTCACGCCTATTTTGGTCCCTAAATTTTTTACTTGATTCATATTTGATCTAAGTTCAATAACCATCATTTTTGTCCTTGATATTTAAATTTAGTTACAACTTGGTCTTTCAAGTTTCAAAAGTGACACGTTTAGTTCTTAAATTGTGAACTTAGTTTTTTAATTGGTCCGGAAGTTTAAATTAAATTTCTAATTGGTCTCGAGTTGAAGTTGACAATTAGTTGACCCAATCGAAGATGATGTAGTAGCTAATATATGTTGTCTATTTTGGTGACGTGTATTTTTTTAAATGAGTTGATAAATTTTATTATTCTTTATACGAGGGATCAATTTGAAATCAAACATAAACTTTAAAGACTAATTAAAAACTAAATTTAAATTTTAGAGACCGAATATATTTGAAAGTTAAAACAACCAGATATTAACTAAATTTAAACTAAATCCAAATCTCATACCAAAAAGTTTGAAATATTGCAGTAGAGGGCGGAATTTTACTCCATGGCCAAACAGCCTCCTAGGAAAAACTCTGTGGTTGGTTCTTTTTTTCACAATGTAATCATTTAGATTTATTTATGGCGTCGAGAAAGAATAATGCAGCGATATAAATGTTTTGTCATTTACATTTGTGATAGGAAAAAAAAAAAACTTTCACTTATGTTCAACTATTGATGATTTATTTTTTAATTTTTTTAAACTAGTGATGCTTTAACTAAAAAAGAAAAAAAAAACTATTGATACTTTATCTTCTTTCATAAAAGAAAAAAGAAAAACTATTGATGCTTTATCCAAGTAATAAATGATGCACATGTAGTGTTTATTTTTATTGGATTTAAGGTGGATTTTGATAGAGCACTTTTAAAATGAAAACAGAAAAATTCATCTAAATTAATTGCTTTTTCAATAATTTATTTCTAAAATTTTTTAAAATACTTTTAATTACTTGGAATTTTTAAAAGTACTATTTAAAACTTCAACTAACAGTGCCAATTAAAAAAAAATGAATTAATGAGTGTGAAAATTCAAATCTACAATTTTAAAGGAGGTTATAAATAGTTTTATATTTTTTTGGAATTCATAGAAATAAATGTTTAGTGGAACTTTTTTTTATTAAAATTATAAATTGTGTATATGATTAAAGAAAAATTTTTAATAATTTTCTTAACGTTTTTTAAAACAGGCTTTTTCCATTTTCATCTATATTTGTTATTAGGAGACAAAAGTAAACAAAAACAAAAAACCATCAAACTAAAAAAAAATTATGAAAATAAAATTCATAATTTAAATTTTATGGAGATGATATTTAAAGTTAGTAAAGATTACAAAAATATGGTTTACAATTTAGATTTACTGGATTTTTTTTAGATATAGATTTACTAGAGTTAAAAGTTTAGATTATCTACATTAAATAAAAAATATTATTATATTACGAGATAAAAAGAAAATAAAATGCAGTCAAATCGAGTATAGCTCAATTATAGTTAAGATCTAAAAAGTCGTGAATTCGAATTCTTATTCTCACATGTTGTATTAAAAATAAATAACCTAAAATTGATTGAAGAGAAGATTAAATTCCGAGTACATAAAATATGCTATATACACAAGAGGAAGACAAAATTTGAGGGGCACGCACCCCTTAGGTTTTAATTAAATTATATATATCTTACCTTTACATTTGTTTACATTTGTTGAACTTTAAATAAATAAAAAAGCCAATTTAAAAATAAATAATTTGTTCGTGAAAAGAATGAATAGTATTGACAAGTATCTATAGAGCTCATTATTAAATTTTACGATAGTAAAAACTACTCATATTTGTGAGAAAAATA